CTTTTTATTTTGATGTAGTCCCATTTGTTTATTTTCTCTTTAGTTTCCATTGCCCTAGGAGCTGTATTGGTAAAGATATTGCTTCAGCATATGTCTGAGATTTTGCTGCCTGTGGATTCCTCTAATATTTTTATGGTTTCCTGTCTTACGTTTAAGTCCTTTATCCACTTTTAGTTTATTTTTGTGTGTGGTGTAAGTTGGAATTTGGTTGTTTTTGTTGACACTTCTATTATAGAGAAAAGGTGAATAGTGATATTAAAATATTTCTTCTAATTAATTTCCTGTCAATGTGCATGAATCCATGTTCTGGACCACTAGTATGGGATATAAAACTGAAACTCATTAACACAAACAGCAGTGTGGTGATTGCCAGAGGGATAGGGGTGGTGGGAGAAGGGGGTCCTAATATAAGGTGACAGGAGATTTGACTTCAGATGGTGGGCATACAGTGTAATATACAGATCTTGTAAACATAGAAGCCCACACCTGAAACCTATATGCTCATGTTGACCAACATCATCCCAATCAATGTAATAAATAAATATTAAAAATAAATAAATAAAATAATGGATTAGTATACCATATTTATTTTCTAACTCCTACAAATCAATAAGGAAAAACAAGCATCCCCAATGAAAGCAATTAGACATGGAATGAATAGGCAGTTCCCAGAAGAGAAAATCCAAATAGCTAATATGTAAATATGAACAAGGATGTGCAAGGATGTTATATTAATCTGAATAAGCTGGACTTATACTTCAGTAACAAATCATCCCCAGATCTCAGTGTCTTAACCCATGATTTTATTTCTCACTCATACAAAATCAGTTATAGATCAAGACATTCTCCAAGGCAGCATTCCTCTGTGTGGTGATTCAGGAATTAAGGCTGCTATGATCATGTGGTTTCATCATCTCTGAAACTAACCTCCATGTCCATGATGCAGGAGGGAGAGAGGGAGGGAGGAAAGGAGGAAAGAAAAAAGGAGAAAAGGAGAGGAGAGAGAGAGAGAGACTATACAATCACAGACTTTTCATTACCTCAGCCAGAAGATGACCCACATCACTTCCATTCACATTTTATTGGCCAGAACTAGTTCTATGGCCCTGCAAGGGGACTGGAAAGTTTAGTTTTCTGTTGTTTAGGAAGGAGGAATATGAAACAGAATTTGGTAAATACATAGCATTATCTCTGCCACAAATGTTCATTACAGACTATAAGGTAAAAATAATATAGTTTGTAATTTGAAAACAACATAGCCACCCAAGTGTTAAATACAGTGGTGATTTATACACTGGAATACTATAGTGAAAATGAATTAACTATATCTGCATGTCTAAACATAGCTAAATCTCAAAAATATAGTGTTGAAAAAGCATAAAAATATGGATAGGAGGGATAAGCACCAACTTCTAGAAAATAATTACCTCTAAAGAGGAAATGGGGGAGCGGAATGGCAGTTTGGAGAAGGGGAATGAGTTTTCAATGGTATGATGTGACATTTTGTTTCTTTTTAATTTTTTTTAAAATATATTTTATTGATTTTCCACAGAGAGGAAGGGAGAGAGACAGAGAGTCAGAAACATCGATGAGAGAGAAACATCAATCAGCCGCCTCCTGCACATCTCCCACTGGGGATGTGCCCACAACCCAGGTACATGCCCTTGACCAGAATCGAACCCGGGACCCTTCAGTCCGCAGGCCGATGCTCTACCCACCGAGCCAAACTGGTTTCAGCTTGTTTCTTTTTAAAAATTACCTGTAAAGGCAAATTTATAAAAAAAGGAAAGTTTATTAGTGGCTGCTTGAGGCTGAGGGTGGGAATAAGGAGTAACTAAAATGGACACAAGGCATCTTTCTGGGTGATGACAGTCTTTAAAAATTGAATTGTGATGATGGTTACACAGCTCTGTAAATCATCAAATACATTTAAAATGGTAAGTTGCATGGTATTTGAATTACACCTCAATAGAGCTATATAAAAAACTATTTGCAATAAATATAGCAATGTACTATATAACTCCATTAATATAAAAATAAGTGTTTGTATATGTATTAAAAGCTTTTTTTAATGATGGGGCATAACTGTTGGTGGGAATTCAGATTGGTATAGCCACGGAAATCAGTATGGAGGTTCCTCAAAAAGTTAAAAATGGAATTGCTTCATGGCCTAGTGATTCCACTTCTGGGAGTATATCTGAAGAAACCCTAAGCACTGATTTGAAAGAATATATGCACCCCTATGTTCATTGTAGAGTTATTTACAATAGCCAAGATATGGAACAAAGATATGGGAGCAACCCAAGTGCCCATCAATTGACAGACAAATGAATAAAAAAGCTGTGGACATATATACAATGGAATAGTACTTGGCCACCAAAAAGAAAATCTTACTATTTTGACAGCATGGATGAACTTAGAGGATATTATGCTAAGTAAAATAAGTCAGTCAGAGAAAGACATACCATATGATTTCACTTATATTTGGAATCTAAAGAACAAAATTAATGAACAAACAAAATAGAAACAGATGCATAGGCACAGAGAACAGACTGATGTTGCCAGAGGGGAGATAGGTTGGGGGACTGGATGAAAAAGAGGAAGAGATTAAAAAGTACATATTGGCCCTGGCCGGGTGGCTCAGTTGGTTGAAACATTGTCCTCTACACCAAAAGACTGCAGGTTCAATTGCTGGTTAGGATACATAAAGTTGTGGGTTCGATCCCCAGTCCTGGTGCATAAAGGAGGCAACTGACCGACATTTCTCCCTCACATCGATGCTTCTCTTTCTTGCTTTTCCTCTCTCTAAATATCAATAAACAGATCCTTAGGTGAGAATTTTTCAAAAAGTACATATTGGTAGTTACAAAATAGTCACAGGATATAAAGTACAGCATAGGAAATATAGTCAATAATATTGTAATAACTATGTATGGTGCCAGATTGGTACTGAAAATATCAGAGGGAACACTTTGTAAAGTATATGATTATCTAATCTCTATGGTGTACACCTGAAACTAAAACAAAATAATATTAAATGTAAACTGCAATTGAAAAATACGCAAGTCAGAGAAAGATACGTGATCTCACTCATATGTGGAATCTAATCAACAACATAAACAGATAAACAAAATAGATCCGAAAACATAGAAGCACCAAAAAATAAAATTTCAAAAATAAAAATAAAAAAATAAAATGATGGTGCTTAGTCATTAGTTTCTGCCAGTAGGTCTGATAGCTCAAGTCAACTGCTTTTTGGAAAGGAAACAAGGAACATGAGACTTAAAGATAGAATCACTGACATAATAACAATGATAATAGCTATTTTTATTATTTTATATTAATCTAGATATGTCTATATTTAAATTCCCATTGTACGCCATAAGCATCTGTAGACACAAGCAGCGGACCTTCCCCACACGCCACATGCATCTATAAAAAAAAAAAATTTCCCTAAGTGGCCGTCCTGACCAACTTTAAAATCATTTTTTGTGAGAACTTTCAGCTGAAAATATTCAAGAACATCCAAATTGTGAGTAACATATTTATTTTTATAATATTCATTGCAAATTGATTTTTTAAATTAAATTCAAAATCCCGTGGCGTATGGGGATGGTTTCCATTTTGGACGTGTGACAGTTAACTGGTTAAGTTAGGCATGTTGATGATCCACTCTATTTCACGAAGTCAAATCAATGTTTCCATTGTACTGAATCACTTTTTGCATCATCTACCATAATTTTCCAGAGCACATCATTTTCACTCCCAAATAGTAGTGGAATATACAGCATTTTAAAAATTCTTATATGATGTTCTCTCTGTGAAAAAAAAAATGTTCCCAGGCAATAAGTATTTATAGGCATAACATGCATAACAGCCCATTTTTCCCTATTAATAATTTACCACAGTGATAAAAGTATAGGCTCTGGAGTTTGCCCAGTTAACATCTATTGAGGACTTACTAAGCACCAAGTCCATCAATCTTCACAATAACCCTTTAAAGTAAATATTGTTATTTAGCGCCATTTTTCAGATCAAGAAATTCAAGGCTCTGAGAACTTGAGTAATTTACAGCTGGTGAGGATCTGATGGCAAAGCCTGAGTGTCTACTCTAGCTGTTCCTTTCAAAAGTCTAATCTATCCAGAGTCATGTTGTAAAATTAACCACAAGGACCTGGTGGAAAGAGAGTGTTGTCCTCAATCCATGTCAATTCTGTCAGAGCAAAACCTTATTTTTACAGTTCATCCAATGATTTCAGGTAATTTTGACACCAAGGATCCCAAACACTTGAGATATCTTTGCCTATCTTTTTAGTAAGGTTCCAAATTCACCAAATCATGGATAATCCCCGTCCCTTCAACTCCATATAGGACCCAGGAGTGTTAGTTGACTCAATAGCCAGGTAGCAGGTCAGAGATGGCTGGCATTCTCTGGCAGCAATGATTTTTTTTTAAAAAAAGGCATCCCCCTCCCCCAAAATGAATACAACAGTAAAGAGATCATCACTGGGTCAGAGATATCAGTTCATTTCTGAACATAGAAAGCAAATGTAGAAGTGGTAACTGATGAAGTGGGGCAGAGGAAGCAATAGCCTAGAGAATGCATAGAGGAACAGCCAAGAAAGAAGTCAGTATGCCCTTTCTGATCTCACAAAAAGCTCACTGTTAAGAAGGAACAGAGACAACAAAAGTAGGAGTGAGGTGTAGAACTGACAATACAGGGATTAATTAAAAGTCTGTGTATGGAACAGTTGACTATCCCCAACCTCCAGTTCCCCATGCACAGAAATATTAGCCACCAGACTTCTACTTCAGGCAAAGGAAATGAAACCTCATCAATGGAGAAAGTAAACAGTCCTGGAGCAAAGGCCTCTGCTTTCTAATCCTTGGGGGTTCCCTATCAGATCATCCTAAGGTGAAACACCAGTTGATCAGCTTTATCCAAGCCCAGAGTTCCCAAGCAGTTGCTTATATTTTATTTCAATATTATTATATATGAACAGATACCCAGGGATCATCAGCATTTATAGAAAATTTTGCAACAAGAAATAGATCAATAATAAACAGAAGGAGGGCCCCAAGAAAACATCAATACTTCAGGGAATAAAGAGAACTTAAACAGCAATAAGAACAAAATAAAATTTTTATTGTGGTAAGAGCACTTAACATGAGATCTACTCTCTTAACAAATTTTTAAGTGCACAATACAGTATTGTTAAATATGGGTACTATGTTTTACATGAGATCTCTAGAACTTACTCATCTTGCATGACTAAAACTTTATACCCACTGAACAACTCATTTTCCCCTCCCCATAGCACTTGGCAACCCTTTAAATTCTCTGCTTCTTTGAATTTGACTATTTTAGATACCTCAAGTCAAATCATACAATATTTGTCCTTTTGCGACTGGTTTATTTCACTTAGCATAGTGTTCTCCAGGTTAATTCATATTTTAGGATATGGCAGGATTTCCTTCCTTTTTAAAGCTGAATAATATTTCATTGTACATATATACCATATTTTCTTTATCTTAATCTATTCATCATCCATAACAGGTTGCTTCCATATCTTGGTTGTTGTGAATAATAATGCTGCAGTGAACATGGGAGTGCAAATATCTCTTCAAGATCCTGATTTCAATTCTTTAGGATATATAACCAGAAGTGAGATTGCTGGATCATAAGGCAGTTATATTATTTTTTTTGAGGAATCTCCATAGTCTCTTCCATAGTAACTGCACCATTTATATTTCCAACAATGGTGTACAAAAATTCAAATTTCTCTGCATTCTGGCCAACATTTATCTTTTTATTTTTTATGTTAGTCATCCTAACAGGTCTGAGGCACTATATCATTATGGTTTTTATTTGTATTTCCATGATTATTAGTAACGTTGAGCATCTTTTCATATATCCATTGGCCATTTGTATATGTTCTTGGGAGAAATGTCTATTTAAGTCCTTTGCCCATTTTTAAATCAGGTTATATTTTTTGGTATTGAGTTGTAGGAGGTCATTATATATTTTGGATATTAACTCCTTATCAGCTTTATGGTTTGCAAATATTTTCTCCCATTCTGTAGGTTACCTTTTCATTCAGTTGATTGTGTCCTTTGCTGCGCAAAAGCTTTTTAGTGTAATATAGCCCCACTTGTCTATTTTTGTTGTGCTTTTGTATTATATCCAAGATCATTGCCTAGACAAATGTCATGAAGCTTTTCCCCTATGGCTTCTTCTAGTGGTTTTACAGTTTCAGGTCTTTAAATATTTAACTCATTTCGAGTTGACTTTTATGTATGGTGTAAAATGTAAGAAGTCCAGTTTCATTCTTTTGAATCCCATTTACAATAGCATCAAAAAGAATAAAATACTTCAGGATAAAGTTAACCAAGGAAGTAAAAGTTTACATATTAAAAACCATAAGACACTGATGAAAGAAATTGAAGACACAAATGGAGAGACAACATGTGTTCTTGGAAGATTTAATATTGTTGAAATGTCCAAACTACTCACAGCAATGTACAGATTCAATGCAATTCTTATCAAAATCCCAATGGCATTTTTTACAGAAAAATTTTCAAAAGTCCTAAAATTCATATGGCACCACAAAAGACCCCAAATACCCAAAGCAATTCTGAGAAAGAAAAACAATTTTATGAGGGTTCCTTTTTCTCCACATCCTCACCAGCACTTGTTGTTTGTTGATTTGTTGATAAGTTGATAATAGCATTCTGACAGGTGTGAGATGGTACTTCATTGTCGTTTTGATTTGCATCTCTCAGATGATTAGTGACTTTGAGCATGTTTTCATATGTCTCTTGGCCTTCTGTATGTCCACTTTCGAAAAGTGTGTATTTAGGTCCTTTGCCCAATTTTTTTATTGGATTCTTTATCTTCCTTTTGTTAAGTTGTATGAGTTCTCTATAAATGTTGGAGATTAAACCTTTATCGGATGTAACATTGGCAAGTATGTTCTCCCAAGCAATGGGCTCTCTTGTTGTTTTGTTGATGGTTCCTTTTGTAATGCACAAACTTCTAGGAATATATCCCAAGAAATCAGAAACACCAATCAGAAAGAATATATGCAACCCTATGTTCATAGCCACACAATTTACAATAGCTAAGATTTGGAAACAGCCTAAGTGCCCA